GGAAACCCTGTACAGGGTCGCTATGGGTCGGAACCGACTCGACGGCACTTAACAACAACAACACTAAAGCAGTCAGGAATATATAACCCTTCAAACAACCAAAGGGTGTACCTTGCATTGCCAGCCTCCCGGCTACCAGCACACAGCCCCTCTCCCTCCTTTAGTGTAGAGTCTCCAGCTGCTCCATCTCTCCATGTCATCATCTCTGTCTTCATCTCTGGCATCATTACTTCTCTGGATAGGGTCCTACACTCCGGTCTTCTCCCTTGATGGTCCCAGGGTCCTCTGCTCCTGGGCTGCAAGATCAACCACTCCCTTCCTTTTGTCATAAAACGTCTACCTTTACATTTGCATCATTCACAATTAGTCCTGATAGCAGTTATTCATTATTGAACCACAAAAGTCGTATCTCTGTCTCCTTTCACCAGTCGCATCGAGACAGGTTGGAAACTACTTAGTGGAGATTTTACCTTCGCCTCTACCCTCTGAAACTAAGCTCCCTCCTGAAAACTTGTAAGCTGGTCACTTCATGCCTTTGTTGCCCCTCTCCCCTATTTTGGGTAGCCAATGTCTAAGTTGCCTATCCCTGTCAACCCTGTGTACAGAGGGGATAGGAATGATCCTTTCTATAAAGATTTGTTCCCTCATTTAAGCTACTATATCCATAAGTATAGGTCAAGTTCATCAAATTGTAGCAGATTAGACTCTTTTTCCTCTTTTTCCTCTAGTCAAGTTCTGATCATCCAGCCATTGAAGCTAAGTCAAATGGGTACTGTTTGCAAGTATGGGCATTCTTGTGCATCTCCCCTCACTTCATATCAGCTGGACGCTTCACTCTCTGCTGTATTCCTCTATGACTATGTCCCTGTCCGAGGGCTCAGGAGTCCCTAGGTCTCGCTGTATTGCTCGCCACCCAGGTTGCGATCCAGGTTGACAGGAGTCTATTGAACGTGGTTGGACTTAGTTCGCAGCTTCGTTGCTGTTTTTTGCATAATCATCTTTTATGTTGCTTTTAAAAGGTATTTGCAATGAAGAAGTCATTTGTCTTGCAAAGTTCTATCATGCGATCTCTAGCATAGTGTCTGTTATCAAGGCCATATTTTCCAACTACTGATCCTTTCTCTTTGTCTCCAACCTTTACATACCATTCACCATTAATTATCAATACATCTTGATTACATGTTTTATCAATTTCAGACTAAAGAAGTTGGTAGAATTCTTTAGTTTTTTCATCTGTGGCTTTAGTGGTTGGTGCATACATTTGAAAAGTAGTGATATTAACTGCTGGTCTACCTTATACGCATATGGATTATGAACAGCGTTGTACCTCATGACTGATCTTAATATGTTCTTTTTGATTATGAATGCAACGCCATGCCTCTTTAATCTGCCATTCCCGGAGTAGTAAACCAAGTGATTATTAGATTCAAGATGATCAATACCAGTCCATTTCAGCTCACTAATGCGTAGGATTGATCTCTATGTGTTCCATTTCATTTTTGACAACTTCCAATTTTCCTAAATTTATATTTCACACATTCCACATTCCATTTATTAATGGATGTTTGCAGCTATTTTTTCTCATTTTGAGTTGTGGCCCATCAGTAATTGAAGGTCCAGAGGACTTCACTCCATTAATGTCATCACAGTCAACTCTATGTTAGAAGACAGCTCTTAACATATTTTGAGTGCCTTCCCACTTGAGGGCCTCATCTTTCAGCACTGTGGCTGACAGTATTCTGGTGTTATTCATCATGTTTCAGTATTCAGTATTCTATCTGACAAGAGTTTCACTGCTATTTGTAAGATTTTCAGTGACTAAACATTCAGAAGTTGTCCACCTTTACTTCTTCTGAATCTATCCTACTCTGGAAATTCAGTTGAATTATGTTCACTATGCGTGACCTTGTTGGCATTCACAATGCCAGTGGCATAACTTCCACCATCACAGCATCACACAAGCCAGAACAGCGTGACAAACTAACAGATGAATGATATTTTAATTTGTCTTTGTTGTTGTTGAATTTCAGGAGGATTTGTGGTTGGTGGAATACTATCCCCAGACAGAGTGTCGCCTAAAAGGAAGACCACTAATGGAAACAGAGGAAAAGTCAGCAAAATAACTAATCGGGAAAAGAGATGTCTTGATAAGAATGAAAGAAGTATGATCTTATTCCTGAATGTAACTTTTAGATTTTAAGAACAGTGTCTTAAGAAATACTGTGAAATTAATAAAAACAAATAATAATAGACTCAATAATAATAATATAGGCTTGATATTATAGGTATTTATTTTTAATGTCTACTTTTTTCCTCAAATCTCTGAAGTGAATTTACTTGATCTCATTTTTAAAAATCATTAATAGTATAATATAAATGATCTCCTGCATAACTTGCCTAGTTAAATAAAACTCACCTTTTCCATGCCCAACCTATAGTTAAAATATACATTTTAATATGTTAATTCTGAAGCATATCACATCTAACTTTCTTAGAGAATATGCAAAATATCATTTAATCTTTCAATGATAGAGGACTTTAAGAATCATTATGATTGGCTTACAGTAATCAAGAATTTTAAGGTATTGCTTTTATATTAAATTATTGTATGTTTTTAAATTAGAACTTTTGTTTATCACTTTGGACATTTTAAACAGGATAAGATTGTTATACCTCTGAATGTTTTCTTTTACAAATTATTTATAGTTTTATTTTATCCTGGACTTTATTTTTAAATCATTGAGCAAAATTTTAAGAATATAATTTGTATTTCAATGGTATTTCTTTTGCAGAGAATAGTTTAGTAGCAAATCTGGATGTGCCTCTAGGAGATCCTTTTCAGCCAACAAGGGTAAAGGATCCAGAAACAGACGAGTGTATTCTAAGGGGTAAGATCAGGGATGATACTGAAAATAATTTTATTTATTAACAATTAGTGATAATCAGGAGACCTGGTATGGCATTGTCAGTTAATGTGTTGAATTGCAAGGTCAGTTTGAACTGCAAGCTCAGCGATTCAGGCTTACCAGCCACTCCTCAGAAACCCTATACAGGGTCACTATGAGTGGGAACCAATTGATAGCACTTAACAACAGTGATAATCAACTGCTGACATGATGGCCAACCTATCAGCTTTCTCTTTCTCTTTCTTTATTTCTGTTTCAACCCCAGCGGACATATGGCACTATGTATTTGTCCTCTGGGGTACAAGTGTAGCCCTTCTTTGATCAAGAAAACATGGGAGCAGGGCTGTTGTTTATGGGGAATTGTAGCAAGTTAATTGATAGACCCTAAGACATGCTCTCACTACCCTTAATGTCAGTCAGGAACTGTGGGAAGGATACTGACAGATTTCCAGTTTTTGGGGTTTGAATAGTGGTATCTGAATGTGAAACCTTAAGGAGGGTTGCTGTGAAGCGCTGTTTAGTCGGTTCTGACTCATAATAACCCTGTGTAGGGTTTCCGAGGCTGTAAATCTTTGCAAGAACAGAAACCCTGGTCTTTCTTCCCATGGAGCAGCTGGTGTGCTTGATCCTCTGACCTTTTGGCTTGCAGTCCATTGTTAATTCTACTGAACCACTGTAGTGCTCTCCTTAAGGCTGGTACAAAGTCCTAAAAGCTCCTACTGTATTTGTTGTTGTTAAGTGCCATCAAGTTCTAACTCACAGCGACCCTGTATAGGGTTTCTAAGACCGTAAGTACTTGAGGAAGTAGAAAGCTTCATTTCTCTCCTTCAGAGTGGCTGGTGAGCTCAAACCACTGATGTTGTAGTTTATAGTCCAATGCTTATCCTCTATTCCTCTAGAGCCATTGCACTTCTTCTGTATTGTTGTTGTTAAGTGAGTGCTGTTGACTCTGTACCAACTCATAGTGACCATATATTTGTTGTTGTTGTTAAGTACTGTTGAGTCAGTTCCGACCCATAGTGACCCTGTAAAGGGTTTCCAAGGCTGTAAATCTTTATGGGAGCAGAAAGCCTCATCTTTCTCCTGCATAGTGTCTGGTAGTTTTGAACTGCTGACCATAAGGTTCGCAGCCGGATTCGTAACCACTATGCTACCAGAGCTAGGGTTTCTGAAAAGCAGCTGGTGAGTTTGTACTGCCAATCTTGTGTTGCAGTCCCAGTTCAGATCCTGTAATGCTACACCAGGTGTCCCCTTCTGTATTAGATAGGCATTAGTCATTTTGTCATTTGAAGGTACAGAAAGCCAAAGAAGGTCCCAAAGAAGGGTCTATTATGGGTCTATGGTTGGGGCTAGTAGGAAATATTCAGCTATTTACCAATCAAGTTGTATTCACATACATAAATTATTTAAACATTTTAACAATTTATAAAGTTAACTGTACTAGTAGCGTAGTGATTATGAGTCAGGCTGCTAACCTCAAGATCAACAGTTCAAAACTACCAGTAGTTGAGGCTTTCTGCACCCATAGAGATTTACAGCCTCAGAAACCCTATGCAGGGTTCCTATGAGTTGGAACCAACTCCATGGCATATAACTATCACCACCACCACCAGTGTGTACGGTATTTGCAAGTGTTGTCTTGAGTTCATCCCTTTCTTTCTTTTGTGTCTGTGCAATTTCTATATCTGTTACTCTGTGGAATCATCAACATTTCTATATATCCTGGAAAAACAGAAGTTGTTGCTGATAGTAAAGCATACAAATCTGTAATGGTTTGTAAGTAAAAGGGAAAAATTCCAAATTACGACTTTAATTTGTAAGCAATAGTTGGAATGCTTGGTGTCTTCATAACTTTTAAAACTCTTACCTGTTGGTCAAGTTAGCTTTAAAGAATTTGTTGTCATACTGATGATACATTATAAAACCTTTTTAAAGATATGGAATCTTTTTCTTGCCTCTTCCTGATTTTCATTTTCTTCTGAGTTAAAATAGCAATACAGATATTGCCATTACTATTAATAGTTTATATTTACATAGTGTTTACTTAGTATCAGACATTGTTTCAAATATTTTACACATATTTGATGATTACAGTAATCTTTAACAGATAAACTGGTACTAAGCCATTTTACAGAAGTTTTAGAGTCGGTGATCTTAATCATTAGTTCTTTATTTCTAAGGTAGTTTTTGCATAAAAATAACTTACTCTATTATTGTTGTTGTTCTTAAGTGCCATTGAGTCGGTGCCAACCCATAGCGATCCTGTATAGAGTTTCCAAGGAGCGGCTGGTGAGATTGAACCGCCGACCTTGCAATTCAAACATTGCAGTTCAGCGCATTAACCCACAGTGCCTCTGCTATTAAGGGGCTTCAAAAAGTTAGTGGAAAGAGTGGAATTACAACATAATGGAGTTTTTCCACAAACTTTTTGAAGCTTCTTGCATGTTGATTTGCTTGTATGTTACTGTATCACTGAGCAATGTCATTTCTCTTGCTTTACTTTTATGTCATTTTTTTTTTAACCATAGATCTTATAAGGCCACGAGATACATGTAAATTTTTTGTTGACCATAAAGAATTGAGAGTGTATAAAACATTGGATACACCTTTTTTTTCTACTGGAAAATTGATATTAGGACCATGTCAAGAAAAAGGAATGCAGTATGTTGGTGTAGATATATTGGTGAGTATTTATGTTTCTTCTATATTTATTTGTTGTTACTATAGGTACAACACTTCTTTATTCTACTTGATGAGGGAGGAACTAAAATGTTAAATCTGTTTGATCAATGCACCATTAATTCTTTTAAATCACCTGTTCTGTGCCTAGCTCTATTACCTTGAGAGTCAGAAGGTAAAAGGACTCGTCTTTTGTATAAAAGAAGTTTAGAATATAGGTATACAAACAAATCATTCACAGTGTTGAGCTAGAGGGGTTTATGGAGATAAAGTTCAGTTCCTCATTTTCAGCTCATGTAATTGAGAAGTAGTTCAAAAACCTTGTTCAAAAGTTAACAATTTGCCAGGAGTCCCACAACTAAGAACAAGTTAAGTATTGACGAGTATACTATTACACAATATTATGGTCTGAAGTTGTGAGTCACATACACATACTTGCACACACTCATTTTCTTTAAGAGCTTTCTAAATGTGCAAAGCACCTAACACATAGTATTTCATTTGTATGTTACATCTATTATTTGCTGATGAGTATACTAACAGAGAATGATTAAGTAATTTACCCAGGGTCACCCAATTAGTATATGGCACTTCATTAGGCTCCAAATTCTTGCTCTACCACTATGTAATAAAAACTACCCAAAACTATTGGCAGTAATTAACCACAAGCCATTCCACTAGAGAAAGATGGGCAGTCTGCATTTGTAAAGATCCACAGCATTCCTAGTATATCATCTTTGATTGCTGTGAGTTCGAATCAAACCAACAGCTGTGGGTTTAAGAGAGAAAAGAACCACTTCCAGAGGAATTGCGAAGGTTTTGTTGTTGTTAGGTGTGATGAGTCAGTTCTGACTCCTAGCAATGCTATGCACAAGAGAATGAAACACTGCCGGGTTCTATGCCATTCTCACAATTTTTGTTACATTTGAGCCTGTTACTGCTGCCACTGTGTCAGTCCATCTCATTGGGATCTTCCTCTTTTTAGCTGATCTCTTTTTTTAGCTTTACCAAGCATCATACCCTTCCTCAGTTACTTGTCCATCCTGATAACATGTCCAAAGTATGAGAGATGAAGTTTCACCATCCTGATTTCGAAAGCGCATTCTTGCTGTACTTGTTCCAACACAGGTTTACTTTCAATATTCTTCTCCAATACCGTAATTCGGATACATCAATTATTTTATGGTCTTTCTTATTCATTGTCAAACATTCAAATGCTTATGAGACCACTGAAAACACCATGGTTTGGGTTAGGTGCACCTTAGTGCTCAAACTGACATCTTTGCCCTTGAACACTTTAAGAGCGCTTGTTTGCCTAGTGCAATACATCATTTAATTCCTTGATTGCGGCTTTCATAATTGCTGATTGTGGAACAAGTGAAATCAAGTCTTTGACAACTTTAATCTTTTCTCAAGTACCATGATGTTATTTATTGCTCCAGTTTTGAGGATTTTAATTTTCTTTCCATTGAAGTGCAATCCTTGTGAAATGCTGTAGCTTTCATCTTTATCTGTCCTAAAAGGACTTAAAATCCTCTTAGCCTTCAGAAAGCAATGTTATATTATCTGCATATCGCAGGTTGTTAATGATTCTTCCTCTAATCCTGATGCCATGTTCTTCATATAATCCAGTGTCTTGAAGTATTTGCTCTAGCATACAGATTGAATAAGTATGTTGAAAGAACACAACCGTGGTGCACACCTTTCCTGATTTTAAACCATTCAGTGTTCCCTTGTTTTATTCGAATGACTGCCTCTTGGTCTATGTACAGGTTCCTCATGAGCACAATTAAGTATTCTGGAATACCCATTGTTGGCAGTGTTTATCCATAGCTTGTCATGATCCACACAGTCAAAAGCCTTTGCATAGTCAATAAAGCACAAGTAAACATCTTTGTGGAATGTCCTGCTTCAGCCAAGATCCATCTGACATCAGCAATGATAATTTCTAATTCCACATTTTATTCTGAATCTGGTTTGAACTTCTGGCAGTTCCCTGTTGATGTACTGTGTTGGAGCTGTTTTTGAATTATAGTCAACAAAATTTTACTTGCATGTGATATTAACAACTTCAGTCTGTTTTCCATGCATCATGGTGTTGTTTATTGATCCGGTGATGAGGGTTTTTATTTTGTTTACATTGAGATGCAACCTGTTACTGAAGGCTGTTGTCTCTAATCTTCATCAGTAAGTATTTTAAGTTGTCGTCTTTGCGTTCAGCATGCAAGGCTATATCAGCAACATATCACAGATTACTAATGAGTTTTCCTTCAATACTGATGCCATGTTATTCTTCTTGGATTATTTGCTCAGCACACAGATTGAATTAGTATAGTGAAAGAATACTACCCTAGCACACACCTTTCTTGATTTTAAATCATTCTGTTTCCATTTATTCTGTTTGAAAGACTGCCTCTTGGTATGTGTACCGGTTTCTCATGAACACAGTTAAGTGTTCCGGAACACCGATTCTTTGCACTGCTGTCCATCTGCCATCATGATGCACACAGTTGAAAGCCTTTACATAATCAATAAAGCACAGGTAAACTCTTTCTGATATTCTCTGCTTTCAGGCAAGATCCATATGATATCATCAGTGATACCTCTCATTCAACATCCTCATTTGAATCCTACTTGAACCTTGGGCAGTTCCCTGTCAGTGTACTGTTAACAGGCATTTTAAAATTATCTTTAGCAAAATTTTATTTGTAGTGATGTTAATGATATTGAAAATTATTTCCACATTCCGTTTGATCTCCTTTCTTTGGAATGGGCGCAAATTGAGATTCTTCCAATCTGTTATGCCGGTAGTTGTCTTCCAGATTTCCTGGTATTAGATGAGTGAGCACATCCAGTGTTACATCAGTTGTTGAAGCTTGCAATTTGTATTCCATCAGTTCTTGAACTCTTTTTTTTTTTTACCAGTGCCTTCAATGCAGTTTAAACTTCTTCGTTCTGTACCAGTGGTTCTTGATCATATGCTGCCTTTGAGATTGTTGAACTCTGACCATTTCCTTTTAGTTCAGTGATTCTATGTATTCTTTCTATCTTCTTCTTCAATTTTTTTTCCCATTATTTAGAGATACTTTATTAGTTTATGTAATCAAAGCCATGTAGATAAGACCTTACATATTCAACACAGTGTTACCCCTATACAAATGGGGAAAAAAAAATTAACTTTAACATGTCTGGACCATTATGGCTGTTAATGTCTTTACAATGCTAACTCAATACAGTACAACTGGGATACTTTTTCCAAAATTGACAGCACAGCTGACGTTTCCAAAAATTCCAATTATGTGTGTGTGTGTATATATATATATACGTGTGTGTGTATGTGTGTGTATTTATATTTAAGGAGCTCTTGTAGCATAGTGGTTACTAATTGGGCTGCTAAGCACAGGGTTGGCAATTCTAAACTACCAGCTGTTCCATGGGAGAAAGATGAGGCTTTCTGCTCCCGTAAAGATTTACAGCCTCGGAAACCCTGTACAGGGTCATTATGAGTTGGAGTCGACGCCACGGTACTTAATAACAACAGCAATATTTATATAAAAAGACCAATCTGAATGTTATGCATCAGTAGCAGCAACAGCTTTTCCAGGCTCTACAGCCATCTGAATAAAATTATAGAGACATCCAGTACACTCCATTAAAAAAAGAAAAAGTATAAAACAAAACCTCAGGAAACAGCAGTTCTGTTACTGTTGTGGTACCTGTCACCATTTTTATTTTTATTTTAATTAGCTTCGTAATCATCATCTGGAAAGTAAACATCCTAGAATAATATCATTAAAACAACTCTGATACAGCACAGTCACTATTACATATCATAAATCAGATAAAAGATATTTTACATATGGTACAGAAAAGTACCTTCTTAGATCTGATTTCCTTTCATTAGTGGCACAGTTTTAAGTATTCATGGCTCTTCATGAGCTTCAGCTAAAAAACATTTTAAAAACACCAACAAATCATTCCAAAATGAAAACAAATCCATTGGATTCATACAAAGATGACTAAGTGTAGGCAAGCAGCACATTCAACATAAGTATTATTTTACCGTATTTGTTGTTTGGATGGTAATAGCTCAATGGAAGAAAAGAGATGTCAAGTAGCACTTCAGATCTTAGGACCACAACCAAAATACAGCATTAGTCAAATATTGCTTATTGAAGATGTTCATGGATGCTGATGTCAATCATCTGCTCACTCATCCAGGAAGAAGGGGGGAGATCATTTATCATCATCCTTTGGTTGTGTTCAACTCATATTGTTACAAAAATAGCAAGCTGCCATAATAAAAAATAAGCCTTCTCTGTCCAGCACCAGTTATCATTAGTTTGTCACGTCCAAGCCTACAAATGCTACAACCATATCCAAAGAACATAAGGGGACAAGAAATCACATTCTGATGTAGTAACTGGGACCACCATACCATTCAGGCTGAGCTATTCCTCTGCAGTGTTATTTTCCTCATATATTTCTGGCATTTCATCTAATCATAAGGATTTGGGTTCTAAATCATATGTAATCAGAGCCATCTCTTCTTTTGATGTTTCTGTATGACTCAATATTTTGTCCATACAATCATTCAATATTGCAACCCAGGACTTGAATTTTTTCCTCACTTCTCTCAGCTTGAGAAATGCTGAGCTTGTTTTTCCCTATTTCTGTTCTAACTCCAGGTCTTAGCACATTATAGTATAATATTTTAATTTCTTTATCTGTTCTTTGAAATTTTTTGTTGAGTTCTTTTACTTCCTTGTCTTTTACATTTGTTTTTGCTTCTTTTGGCTGAAGAATATGTTTCAACGTTTCAAAGTCTTTCCTGACAGCCATTTTGATCTTTTCTTAAACTTTTGTCTTCTTAGTCACCTTTTGCTTTCTTCTTACATGATTTTCTTGATGTCATTACTCACCTCTTCTGGTCTTCAGTTATTAGTGTGTAATACATCAAATCTGTTCTTAAGATGGTTTCTGAATTCTGGTATGGCAACTTCA